GGCTGCCATTTGGCCTTGAATTCTAACGAGCTGCCGTGTGGCATCTCTATCTCTCTCTCACTACTGTCGGCCTGCCACTTGAGAGCCAGTTGCTGGCAAGCTGCCGGGTTTTTAAAATCAAGTCAGATTTGAAAAACAAAGTGAAGGGTTTGCAGGGTTTTTACAACCCCCATATACGTATTCGTTTTTCACTTCTTTTTTTTTATCAAAACAAACTCAAAAAAATCGGGTTGCGAGGTAGGTCTTCGTGCCTGTGGCGGCCGAATTGCCCGCGGCCTAGGCTGTGGGTGTCACGTAGATCAATTTTAGCATCTGCTCCGGTGAATTCCATTTGTCCTCCGTGGTGCATCGAGAACCTTGAGAAAGGAAAAAACCGCTGACCTGCTCGTGTGCATGTGCGTCTGAGAGACACACAAGAGAGAGCGAGTCCCCAATCTGACTAACTATGCCCCCCCCCCCCCCTCCCTCCCAAACACACGATGAAGTGTAGTATGTGCTCATATCAGTTTCATATCTGATCCGTGGAATAAAAAAATAAAAACGCAGAGCACGTACGCGTGCAGGGGGGGGGGAGGGAGAGAGAGCCTAATGTAGTTAACCATGTGCCCCCTCCTTCCCCCCTCCCCCCCCAACCCCAAGTGTAGTATCTGTTCCAATCAGTTTTATATCTGATCGTGGTCCATCAAGAACGTTTTTTCCAAAAAAAGAAAGAAGTACCGCACGAGTGCGCAAGAGACAGAGTGTTGCTTTCCATGCGTGGTAGCAGCCTGTTGTCTGATATCTGATGTTCTTGACCGGCATGATGGTTGGGCAATGTCCTGGCTTTCAGTTTGTGCAAATTCTGCACAGAGTAGCAGTGCATTCCTTGTGAGGTGCCGATCATACCGTTGCTGGCTGTAAGTGCTTGTGGAGTTCACAAGGAATGTGTTGCGGGGACGGTCTGGAGTGATTTGTGTGCTTCCCTCTGGGTGTGTGGCAATGACTTTACGTCATCTCATGGTTCTGCGATGATGAATCGGGACTGCAAAAAGAAACCGAGAGGAGTGATGTGGCTAATTTAGTAATTTGTACGTTTTATTCGGTGTCACATTCGGTTAGTCACCCTCGGATTGGCAATTTTTTTTTTTTTTTTCCCTACCGAAAACGTATGGACGGAAATGTATGTTCCGTAATTGGTTTCGTAGTAAATTAGAGGTTTAATTCGTACATCACAACAGTATTTTTCACTTCGTACTTCGTTTTATTTGAAGATAGTGCAGTGGAATGTCGGTGATTCTGGCAGTTCCGTGTGCAAGGTAGATACGTCTCTGGGCCCTTGGATAGGT